GGCGTCCCGTCCGCGCACCACTGCATCGTCGGGCGCGAGTGCTACACCGACAGCCTGAGGCTGACGACCGCGGCGTGCGTTGTCGCGCTCGCGCTGGGCGTGTACGCGACCTGGCGGGACATTCGCAGGCAGCGGCGCGGCGCGGCAAGGGAGGGCTTGCCCGCCGTGGTCATCTGGCAGGACGAGGAGTAGCGAGCGACGTCCTTTAGACACACAGTATAGAGGGAAAGTATTGGGTATTGTAGACGTCCGGGCTGCCGTATTATATATTCTAGGAACAACTGAGAGTATTCTTGATATTACAGCGGGCATTGCATGTCATGGCGGAACGTATTACATGAGTGGATGTGAGGGAGAATGTTCGGAGCACGATGACATGCCGGGCGGAGGAGAGTGAGCCACTGGGCTGTGGATATGCACAGGACAAGGCTATGGGTGGCGAACGAGTGACTCCGTCAATCGACCAAGTCTGGCTAATATTCAGCCCGGAACGCTTCGGGCCCGTCTGAACATGAGTTCAGAGTGCAAGATACCCCAACCTCTTTGGAGGAGCCGGGAGCGACGGACTGCTGAGAGGAGGAAATATCCGACGCTCCCGCAAACAAGTCGGACTGGGCGCTGCCGAAGCACTGCAAGCCATAAGGCCTGTACTCCTCGGGGCGCGTCCTCATCTCCTCCACACTCGTCCTGCGCGCGCGTGACAGCCACCGGTGTCAGTTAGAACGACGCGCGAGATTGCTTAGAGCACGGGGAGACTACTTGCCTTTCGTTATCCCTGGGTAGGTAGTCGCGGATTAAGCCGCCCCGGGAAACCTGCTCCATTTCCGCGTTGATCCACTCCATGAGTATCTCGGTCATAGCCTGCCTCTGAGCCGGGGTCTGGTTCTGGGCCATGTCTGTTGTCGTTCTTTCGGTCAGCCTCCTGAATGTATGCGAGCAGAGGTAACGCACTGCTGATACTAAAGTTACAAGAAGTTGGGCTGGTGTTGCTGGAACGAAGTGATGGAGGAGGTTGATGACATGGGATGGGACCCCTCCGTAGAGGTACCTGCCAGGTATTTCAAGCCCTTCCGTTACAGCTTTGTCTTCCTTTGGCTCCGCTAAAAAACAGCATAGGCAGCTCACCCCAGGCAAATGTGACAATAACCAAAGCGCGCCCAGTGGCAATGCCATTGACGGACCACACTCGTTGGTGCAGGTCCCCGGCGCTCGTGATCTTGTTATCCAACACGCCTGTGGTCGCTTGGACCCGTAAACAATAGCCCCGGCTGATCATCTCCAAACCTGCGGTAAGACCGGTCAGCTCGACGCCAGATACGTGCTACGGGGCGCACTGCTCGGCCTATGTAGAGTCCACAAGGGATCGGACGAGGCCAACGTAATCGGAGGACTCCCAGTTACCTCTCGTGCTTCCTCAACGTCCCGTCTCGGAGAATGCTGGATCAATCCTGACCATATATCCCTCTACATGAGTTTCGATGGTCATTGGCGTGTCTGTGGCATAGGTCATGGATCGTAGCTCGCGTGCCTTGGCGTTGTCATTCAACATCTGCGAGCGCTACGAGCCTGTCGGACTGGGAGGCGGAGTGTTGGTGGCTGTGCTTCTGCTAGCAAACCTCCTCCAGTTGGCACGGACCACCGTCTGACTTCAGCGCGACAGGCATACGTATGTGGTAAGTTCGCGCTATAGGAATATCCCTTACGTCCTTGCGATTCTTGTCCCTGAAAACAAAGCTACAAGGTTGCCACTAAATTGTGAGACCTGTAGCGGGTAGCCAATCAGCAGGCCATGCGTCTCCCTTGTCGCATGGGCCGGGGATCAACACGCGTTGCCGGACTAGGAAAGCCCATCCACGAGGGGACAATCGAATGCGGTAGGTCCATGAAGAATCTCATTGTTCGTTAGTGACCGTACATGTGATCGATTACAGGTGTGATCTGACTATTGTGTCCCGCGCGCGGGACTGGAAAGGCGCCCTGTTCGAGTCTGAGCCACTCGACTCGGAAAGCAACCTGGCTACGGCGCTTTCTCCCTCCTTGTGATCCTTCCGCTTCAACCACCACCTTCACTACCCACTCGTCTCTGTCCCTTCCATTGTCTGCACTCCATTGGCTCCCACTCACCATGTCCTCCACCGACAAGGGCACCGTCGTGGAGATGGAGATGGACGACTTCGAGGCGCGTCTCTTCCCGCCCACATCGAGAGACCTGCAAGAATTACTTCAGGGCTTCGACGCGTCATTTCCGGTGAATGGAATTCAACATCAGCTACTTCACCCAAACTCTACGCGGGAGGGAACAAAGGAGATCATTGCGGCGCGTTTAGTATGCAGACCCCTTGATTCACATTCACCTAGCGGCTCATGTCCTTGCCAGAACAACTTCATCTACTGCGTTGCTAACACCAGAGGCTACGCAGCCCAATACTGTTACGAGACCCATCGTGAAGACGCTGCTGACAACGAGCTCTACACAATGTTGTACTCGAAACACTCGATCTTGCCGGAGGAGGAAGGACCCAGGTTCTACGCTTCCGCACGGTTTCTGGTCCGATATGAGAGTGGAGGCGCCCAGTACGACCCTTTCACCGACCTCGACAACCTTCCTCCCTCTATGCGCACATCCTGCGAGGCTGCCTACGATCGCCATCTTGAGAACGTGAAGCATGTGTTCAAATACCAGCACAGGTTCTTCCTGTACACCCTTCTGATAAACGACCAATATCTCCGCATCGCCCGCTACCATCGCGAAGGGGTGTACGTCACGAGGCCGTTGGACTACCTTCAAGACCGCCACCTCCTGCCCCGGCTCGTATTGCGTCTTTCTGGGCTCACGGACGCAGAGCAAGGCCTGAATCCGGAGGCCGTCATGCTCAAGGAGGGGTCCCCCGACTGGGATCTCATGGACGAGCTTGGGTGCGCCAACCCTGAGCTGGACATCCCTTCTGAAGAAGGCGCGGAGCTTCCTCCGTTCGCTCCTCCACCACCCCCCGCCGCCGCCGCCGCCGGCCATCACCACGCTCCCCAGTCGCAGCCTGCCGCTGGCTCGTCTCGCCCACCACGTCGGCTACGGGCTCCGAACGAACACCGCGTGTTCCGCCATGTGCGGGAGTCTTTCCTGCGCTCATTGAACGGCGGATGGCCCCGGTACCGTCTCAAGGTCGGCGCAGAAGGGAAGGAGTTCCTGATCGCCGCTCCAGCCTTGCGCAGGAACGATTTCTTCTTTGACCGCGGGTGCCTGTCTTACGTCGGAGTGGATTGCCAGACGCATGCATTCGTGTGGCTGAAGGTTGGCTGGCGGTCGACGGACGAGTGCATCACCCCGGAAGGGCAGGTCCTGGAGATGTTCTCCGGTGATGCAAAGATGCTCGCCCCTACGCTGGTCGCGCACGGCTACACGTCCCAGCCCTGCTCCGATCTGAAGGGTGCGAAGCATCCGGCATCTGCGGCGCCACTGCAGCCCACGCAAGAACACGCGACGCCCCAACGGAGCAAGATGAAGACGCGTGCAGCCGCCAAGGCAGAATGCCAGGCGCTAGGGGACAAACGGGCACGGGAGGACGACGTGGATGCGGAAAGCCTCGAGCCCGATACAAAGAGGCGGTGCGCGGATGACTCGGTCAAGCCTTTGCTGCCCACTGCATACTACTGTATTGTCGTGAAGGAGGTCGGTCTCGACCTTGAGTCATTCACATCCAGCTGGCAGCTGGTCAAGATCTTTCTCGACTGCATACGCAGTAAGTCCTTGTCTCGGCTCAGGAATTTCGACTTTTCCTGACGTGCTACCCATGAACAGCGCACGCGCGTGCTTACAAGGAGCATGGGATTCTCCATGGAGACATCAACTCCGGGAACATCCTCATCGTCCCAACTATTGTCAACAAGGGCGGGCGCGAGGTCGTCATCTGGCGAGGCTATCTTATTGACTGGGAGTGTGCCCGATTTGCCACCAATCAAGGCAGGGCAGTCAACGACGGTCCCGACAAAGTCCTCATCGTGAGTTAATCTACAGCGTTCTTCCTGCGACGCCCAACTCACGCATGTATGCGTAGATGACGTCGGCATTCTGCTCAATGAAGGCCGTCCGTGGACAGGGCGCGGTGATCACCGTGGAGGACGAGCTTGAATCGTTCCTCTACGTGCTTATCGACCAACTCGTCCGCTTTGTGCCGAGCACGCTCCCGGACGACGCTGTTGCGCCCTTCTTCGAGCAATTCTTCGGCACCTACAAGGTGTACCCTAACAATGCCGGCACCAACTGCAGCGACGCGAAGGCGTCCGTCATCCTCAACGCGTGCCTTCGCTTCAAGAAGTGCGACATCCTGTTCTGCGACGACAACGGCGTGCCTGTGCACCCGCTCAACGGGCTCCTCGCGGACCTGCTCCGCCGCTTCCAAGCGCGCTACGCTGTCCTCCACTTCCAGAACGGCGACAACGCCCGCACGCTCGAGCACTACCGCGGCTCCGCGCCACCCCCGACTGTGCGCCCGTTCCGTGCGCCGGCGCTCAAGTCCCCACCGGGCGCGAGCGCGCGCACACTCGCAAACGGCCTGAAGTCTCACCTGGCCATGATCAAGGTGTTCTCCAAGTACGTCCTTGAACCTGGATGGCCTCTGCGGGACAGGGTCGCAAATCGTGCGCCCCACACGGAACAGGACCATTACGTGAAAGTCCCGTGGTGGCGGTAAGCTGCAAGCGGCCTTGCCAAACAGAATGGGGACCGGTGGGTGCAGAGTGGTTGTGTACGTATTGTTATCTTTATAGTTGTTTCTATAGAATAGTCCGCCGTATGCCCCCACATCATCATGGACATCTCTGTATCATTATATTCGTGTAGATTTTTCGTACTGGGACCACACATAGTGATGTACCTATCGTAGCTGTAGATGCTGTTTATGACACGGACCTGCAGCATATGATTGGCGTGACATGCTGCGAGGGAACTCGGCGTAATGTCGTCCACAAGCAATAAAACCAGCGAAGGAAAAAGTTGACCCAGTTACCCCCGGCGGGACTCGAACCCGCAACCTCCAGATGCCCCACGATGCCATGGTAGAAGTCTGACGTCATAGCCATTAGACAACGGGGGCTTATACAACTAAAGGCTGCAGACGGTTCTGAGTGTTTCTTAGAAGAGACATCTGGCGAAGTTCCAAGTGTGGTAGTGACCGCCGGTGCGAGGTCTTGGTTTGGACTCGTTTCAACTTACCCAGGGCCCCCGCTGATGGAGAATGGAGATACCGCCGGGTCGGTCGAATTAGCATCTGGATCCCGGCAATGGTTCGACACGTTGCACGAACCGCACCGTCTGTCGTCGTCCGTCCTCAACCCCAGCGGACGAGGTCGTCTCCGTCCATCAGCCAACTCGCCTCGGTCTCCTGATTGGACCCCGTTCGACTATGGGCGCACTCTTCTCCCGCGGCTTCAATCCGGACAGGGACATACCTGACCTCTCGCGCAAGGTCATCATCGTCACCGGTGGAAAGTGCGTGTCGAGTTTTTGTCTCGTGCGACGAGGAATTTTTTTCGCTGAGAGACATCGTTCAAATTCAGTTCGGGGATCGGTTATGCCATTATCCGGCAGCTCGCCCGGCATGGTGCTAAGGTGTACATGGGTGCTCGTAACGAGCAGAGGGCAAAGGCTGCGATAGAACGTCTCCACACTGAGGGCTTGGGCCCCGGAAATGGAGAGGTCGTCTGGCTCCCGCTAGATCTCAGCGACCCACGACGCGTGAAGCAAGCCGCAGAAGAGTTCCTGAAGACGGAGGACCGGTTAGACGTGCTTGGTATGTCTCACATGCGCTTGTATGCAGCTACGGCGTTGTTGAAGCCAACCCCCATACAGTCAACAACGCTGCAATGTAAGTGGCGTGGCGTTGGGTGGCGCCGTATACCAATCCCATTCTGTGTAGGTTGCTAGTCCCATATACGAAAAGTAGAGATGGTGGGTGTAGTCGTTTCTGAATCTCTACCACGGCTGATTTCCTTCAAGGTCTGCAAGACATAGTGATGGTCAAGTAGGTGTCACCTCTCGGCGTTTGTCTACCGTGACTTACCCAGCTCAACCCCAGCTACATCGGCGCGTGCGTTTTTACAAGGACACTCCTCCCGATCCTTAAGAGAACGGCGGAAGAACCGAACAGCGACGTCCGCGTCGTCTTCGTGAGCACTGACATGCAGCGCCACCGCTTCCCACCCTCACCCAATTTCCCAGCTCAACTCTGCGAGGCATTACCACTGCCCAGGCGACGTCCGCTTCCGCAACATCGACGACCTGAACCGCTCCTTCGAGGACACCTCCTTCCCGCAGCTGCTCCGCTATTGTGCGTCCCCGCTCTTCCATTTCATCTCCGTGCACTCACTGAAGCGGATCGCCGCGGCCTTCTCCGCACAGCATACACAAAAATCATGCAGCTTCACTTCATCCGGGAGCTGCAGCGCCGCCTGGACGACGAAGGCGTGCCGATCCTCTTAATCGCCGTCGACCCTGGCGAAGTTGATACCGGTACGTCACCCCCCCCTCTTCCCTTTCCCCACAACCACGCAAGCGCTCACCGGCACCCCCCTCCCTCCCTCTGCCCACGCCCACGCCCACGCACCCGCCGCTGCCCCGCGCCGACCCCAGAGGGCGTGCAAGCCTACGCGAACTCGGTCGGGCCGCTCATCTCGCCCCTCTACCGGCTCATCGTCGCCCTCGCCTTCACCGCGCCCGCCAAGGGCGCCCTCGGGCCGCTCTTCGCCGCCGCCGCGCCCGCCCCGCGCGCGCACTCTAACACGTACCGCGGCGCGTACCTCAAGCCGCCCGGCGTGCCCGCGCAGGCCGCCCCGCTCGCGGACCGCGCGGACCTCCGCACCGAGCTCTGGGACACCACGGACGCGTTCCTCCGGAGCATCGGGCTCGACCTCCCCGCGTGAGCGTCCGGGTGCTGCGCACGCGTTGTGGTGTTGGTCCGGGAGGCGGGACATGGGGATTCGGGGCGTCGCTGCGGGACGTATTGTGTGGGTAGTAGACGGCGGTACGATAGATACCCTGGATGGTACTCTCTCCTGGGGACACGACATGGATGACTGTGACGTATGACCGTGCCTAGCCCTGGCGGGGTCCTGTCCCGTCGCTAATTCAGGGCATGTACGAAACGCCCGGACGTAAGTCAATACAAAACGTGGGCCCCGTCAAACCCTGATCAACCCTCCCGCCATCCGAACGCTGGACTTTGCGCAGCCTTGCTGACCAGTGGTATCCGACAGCCTCCCCGACGACCAAAGAACACAAATAGGACGAATGTCACATACGTACGCCCAGTACATGGTCCACTGCACGTACAGCCAAGCATATGCTAGCCCAAGCCTCACACTTCACCCAGCTCGACCCTCATCGCCCTCAGAACCTCCTCCGTGGTCTCCCACAGCTCCGTCCTCCGCTCCACACTCGCCACCGCCGGATGCGCCCTTGTGCGGTCCACGCCGACCAGAAACGCATTCTCCCGCTCCCCATCCGCTTCCAGCTGCGCCCGGCCCGCAGCCGCAGCGAACACGGTGCTACGTGCGCCCTTCTCGGGCGTGGCGAAGAAGAGGGCCGCGATGGCGCGGTATAGCAGCGAGAGCGGCAGCGGGACCGAGCGCGCGTACGCCTGCACGCCCTCTGCATCGCGGTGAGGAGGAGAGGCAGTCAGTCGAGCGTGGCAGAGACGCGGGGACGGACACTCAAGCGCACCGGTGTTCACGACGCCGGGATGGGCGCAGACGCATGTGATGGGGACGTGCTGCGCGTCGAGCCGCCGCTGGAGCTCCCGGACGAACATGTACTGCAACAGCTTGCTGAACGCTGTCAGTAGCGGACACCGTGCCCTACTGTTAGCGCTCCTCGAGAGCCACTCGGACCTCACTGGGAGGGACGGACCGTAGCGCATGAACTGCGGGAAGAGCGCGTCCGCAAAGTCCCTGTTGAGGTCGTCGACGCCGCAGAAGCGGACGTCCTGCGGGACGGGGCTGTCCCCACCCGAGTTGAGCTGTGGTCAGACGGGGCGTGAGAGGGCTGTTGGTGTACGGAGGAGGTTGTGAGGTGCAACCATGACTATGCGGACATCGCTTTGAGGCTCTTGGGCCGTTCGTTTGAGGAGCGGGAGCAGCGCGCGCGTGAAGACGGCCGTGCTGATGTAGCTGGAGGCTGAGGTGGTCAGGGCAAATTGAATAGGGCGGGCACTGTATCTCGGAATGCTGACTTGACCATCACGACGTCCTGTATGTCTGTGTACAGAGGGTCCGTCTATTCAGTTCCCCACAGAAGTCCTGGACGAGGCATAGCATACCGTCATGACTCTTCCTGAACGGCGTCAATATCCTGCGACACAAGCGAGTCAGAACGAGAGCCTCGGGCACGCCTGGTCGGTTTCAAGAACGACGTACAGCGCTGCGTTGTTGACTATCGGAAGCTAGGTCAGCGTTTGGCCCCGACTTCCGGGAGCTGAGAACAGCAGCACTCGCTCAGTACGTCCAGCCGGTCCTCCTTTTGCAAGAACTCTTGGGCAGCCTTCAAAGCATCGCGCGGGTCGCTCAAATCAAGCCTCAACCACACGACCTCGCCGCGCCCGGGGGCCAAGCGCTGCGCGTGCAGCCGCTGGATGGCGGCGTACGCCTTGTGCTCGCTGCGCGCGGCGAGGTACACCTTGGCGCCGTGTCGCGCGAGGTGCTGCACGGTGGCAAAGCCGATGCCTGCGCTGGTAGGCCGGCGGCCGTGCAGACAGCTGTGAGCAGTGGAAGGCAGGGGATGGGGGAACATGACACTTACTTGCCGCCGGTCACGATGGCGACTTTGCCGGTGAGGTCCGGCACGTCCGTCGTGGGATCGAACGACGATTTCGAGAGGAAGGAGCCCATGGACTGCAGAAGCCTCAGGCCTCAGCTGTGTTTCCTGCCCACGCAGCCAATGAGCGCCTACCGCCTTCTTGCAGTGGGTGTGTGACTAGAACGGCCGCAGCGATGGCTGCCCACGCAGGGTAGAGATACGGGGCAGGTAGAGTGGACGATGGACCTCACCGTGTTCCCTCCTGGCCAGCAGCAGTCGAGGGAAGAGCGAGGGAGTACAGGCCCAAGCTCTGAGGCGCCCAGCAGCATGCCCCGCCTGCCCAAGTCACGTCCCACCTGTCGCGGCTGCGTACGCGTGCGTGTATGGGTAAGTGACAGCTGCATTGGGTATATTTGCTGGAGCGAGGTTGAGTGAATCATCCAAGGTACACTCCAGCGTATGATCCCTCTTGTTGTGCAGGCTAGGGCGCCGTGATGCGTGGTGTACATGGACATCTCATTGCGATTGCCTGCGAATGTCAGCTCAAAGTGGATAGCACACGGCTCTGTACAGAACAAACCCTGGCGCACAACCGCACATTCACACGACCATCCCTCCCCATCCCAGCTTACAGCCTCTCCGTTGTCTTCAACAGCGCCCTCGCGTTCTCCGCACCCCGATCCGTCCCACTCCCGAGGCCCGCTAGGAACACAGCGGCGAACAGAGGCCCTCGACCCTTCCCACGTTCTCTACTGGCCTTTGACAGCACCGTCTGGCATTTGCGTGAAGACCATCATGGCAATGCTAGCCTACAACCGTATCCGCATGAGTTCTCCCACTTGACCATCTAGTATCCCCAAGCCGCAAACAGATTGAATACCCCACCGATCCGCCTGCCCCTCATTGAGTCTTGCGATCCTCCTTCTGCGGCGACCTCCGGTCCAAGTGTAGCCAAACGGCCTCAGCCTTTCCAGGCGCTCGGCCTTCCGGTTAGAGACGTTCCCTGACCCGTGTCAGGCCCGTGTGCTCGTTTCGCGCGGCAAGGTAGATTATGGCGCATGCGCCACGCCCTGCACAGTTCCGAGGCCGACGGGCGTCGGAGCAGTACTAAGTTGGCCGCGGGCGCACCTAGATTCCGCTTGTCACTATGACGATTATGCCTCTAACGTTCGGCACGTTCGTAGCAGGGTTGGAAGCTCCGGCGGGAACACCCCGGCGTGGCTTGTGAATGCCAGGGAGTCATCGCCAGCGAGCGCGGTGTTTGAACAGTTTTGCGTGTGAGCGCTGGGGCATTTTGTGGGAGCT